GTTCTAGTGTTAAAGCTCTGCTAAGGAGCTACCCAAAGTGTAGCTATACGCATACCTGCTTTATCACAGTTTCCTACAGAACTACTCGACAACATCGGGAAGAAGATCAGTCTAAGCATTGCACATTATCAAAACTCTGATACATACACATTAATAATGTGTGTATGTGTATGATAATGTGACATTATAGGATGATGTTGCCTCGTTTGATGGATGGACCTCACACTGTGGATTGCTGCAGCAGCATGTTCAGCTGTTCACTGCACAGTTAATCTTATTCTGTTATTTCATTTCTTGGCTCTTTGTACGGGACCACATGGGAAAACAGCTTTTTCATATTTTTGGGTTACTGTTTAAGGTTAACATTTTTAGAAAACTGTACAGATTGCCATTGAGGAATGTGAATTATCTATGATGCATTTGCATACAACAATAAAGGCACATGCGATTATTCTCTAACCTCCCACCCCCCCCCCAACAACTTTTTGCATTTAAGATAAATTGAAATAAAAAAATGTGCTCTTTTTATTTTTTATTTAAATACATGGAAATCATTTTTACCTTGGGATACAGGTTTTTGCAATTGAAATCAACCAAAACATTTGGTGTATTATGATCAATTTCTTCTTACACAGGATAACTTGCTCACCTGCCTTCTGGTGTTGATTGTTGTAAACTTGAGTAAGACTGCAAGCACTCAATGACCCCCTGCATTCAGCTGTAAATAGGAGAAGGCAGGGAAGCCTTGTAAACACACACACACGCACGCACGCACGTGCGCGCGCACACACACACACACACACATACACATTCCCCCATGCTCCTTGTGGCTCGGATGTTAGATTACTGTGGATGTTTCACATCTTCTCTTAAGAGTGTCTGTCCTGGGGCAGTATCAGAGAGAACACGTGCCCTGAAAGCCGCATGGTGTCAGGCCATCTCTGTGCTCCACTGCTCCACTCCCCCTGCAGCTGCACATCCTCTCGCCTCGCCTTCATCCCTTTTTATTAGCCCTCCCACCTAATACTACTGCGGCCTTCGTCTTCTTCTCCAGTGTTCATTTCACAATCTCCATTTCAAGCTTGACAACATATCAGTCCGCTCTCGATTGGATTCCAAACCAATTGTGGCTTTTTTGAATACTTCTTAGCTCCACTTCCTTTTGACAATTAGTTTCAAATGCTCTGCCCCATCCTGCTCTTTCTTGCAGCAGGCTCCTAGCTGATAGCTCGAGCTCTAGCAGTCCATAAGAAGGAACGCAGTGTAAGAGTTGGTGAGGTCCTGATAATTTATTGCGGGAAATTACTCTGACCTACTAATTGACCTAACCAAAGTTATTGAGTCTATGTTAGTTTACTGGTTGGCTCAGGTCCACCAACGTCAGCAAGATCTCACCTCTATTAACTCCCCGAAGAACCAGGTTCAATTAACTGCTGTTTCAATTCAGACAACTCTCTTAAATCTGTTTAAGCGATCCCGAAGGATTTTGATATCAGTAATGAGATGTGGCCCTACTAAGTGTGAGTGTGGCAGGGTGCAATCTTACCTTTGAAGCAGGAGAGGAGAGCGCAGATGTCTTTTAAGTTGTCCCAATCCAAAAGGTGGGATCAGTTTATTTGAAGAAAAATAGGTCCAAACTAATACAGGGTTTTTACCTTCTCTCTTTACAATATTATAATCATACTAAATCTATCATGCTGTGAATGTTCTAATATGAAACTTTAATTCACAGTTTTACATTTATTACCATCATTTTTAACTTCAACTGCCCAATTCAGTTGTGACATTTAAAATCTCCCGATAGAATTTAGAGGCATTTCCTCATAAAAAGACCGGTGATAATAAAAAGCAAATTCAACTTTTCATTCACCAAATCAATTCCATACCTTTTTTCCGACACAGGTGGCGGGTATTAACATTCACAAACATGTTAATACCCGCCACCTGTGTCGGAAAAAAGGTATGGAATTGATTTGGTGAATGAAAAGTTGAATTTGCTTTTTATTATCACCGGTCTTTNAGGTTTTTCTATATTTACAGTATAAACAAAACACAAGTGGTTTGTTAAATTGAGTGTAAGGCCTATAATGATTTATGGGTGTCACTGATAAGGTAGAAGGCAGTTTCTTCCCTCTTCCCTCACAGCAGTACACAGGGAGGGGGGCTCCGGACTTAAGGAGAAACACACAGAGGCCCAAAAAAGGTGGTTATGTCATAGCCAAGAATAATATTTTGCAAGTCCTGCAGAATAGGGGTCATGTCCTTTTTACACAAAAATGGGAAGGTGTGTCTTATGGCATAGCCATAGAATATGTCTGGTCATGTCCAGTCCTGTACATCAGAGGCCATGCCCAGTTTCCACAAATGTGGGAATGGAGGAGGTGTCTTAGGTTTTTATATCCTGTTGTTGAGCATAAAGACAGTGGGTTTTTGGAGAGAGCGAGAGAGAGGGGGGGTTTCCCCTGGTATGTTCTCTCTTGGTAAGCTCTGTCCCTCAGAGCTGGGTTAATAGCTCTCGGTAAGGTTCTCTCAGACTTGTTAAATATCTCTCAAAATGTCTTGGTTGAATGCTGAGTGAATTACTTTGTGAGCTGAGTTAATTACTTTGTGAACTGAGTGGAATGATTTGATGGGTGATGTGTTTGTGAATATTAGCAG